GTTATGTTAGTATAACTTCTTCATCTTAGATCCTACAACTTTTACGCCGTATTAATTAATTAAATTGCTTTAAAGGGCTAGTTCTAACGATACGTAGGTACCATATTTTTTTGTTGGCGCCTCACTTTCAGAAAAAAATGTATGGAGCCGAAATGATCTCCTATTGTGTACCTAATTTATTCTTATATACCTACTTTCATCTTTGCGCTCGATTTTTATGTTAGGTAGACACTTCTTCACTAATGTCTAGCTAAAACCTAGACTTGTTTCAATACATTTAATACTTTATCCAGGGTCTAGGACAATAAGAGAATAAATGCCTATTATTTTGATTACGAAATAACATTAACTAGGCGTACATATATTTGATAAACACCTTGAACTATCTAAGCCCGTACCCTCTTGTTTCATAGCCCAACTAAACAGCTAACGTAGGCAGCTATTAAGGTTTATTCATTTGTCACCCGTCAGCGCATCGTTTAGGTGACGCCCAACAGATGTCGCTAGTGCGATTATGATCCATTTTCGTGGACCAATCGAGATAGTGGAGGGAAAAATATTATTTAACGTGAGTAGTGGTCGAAATTGGTAGTTTGGGATGTTTATTGTGTATTTGTTTTTGTCAGAAAGTAGCGTATACAGTACCGCCTTTTGAACAGCATATTTTGTCCTGAAAAACCTCGCTAATTAAGATATTCTATGATAATCTTTATTGACGTCTCATTTGTCAAGTGACGCTATCGAAGTGTCGAGAACTATAAGTTCTCGATTAAAATTTTTAAAACTAAGAATTTTTTTTTCAATGGTTGGCAAAGGGACGGATGGCAAAAGGTACGATCCTATATTAAAATACGGTTAATAACATAACTTAGGTACGGTGGATATTGTAAGCGTACCATCCACATAAAAAACCTAAAGAGACATTATCTTACTTCTTCATTATATTTTTTTTTCATAATCTTTGCAAATTTCAAATCTAAGGACATAATTATACCAAGCGACAGGTCGACAGTTTCGATAGGCCGGGCAACTTAAACAATAGGCAATCAACGTCTGCGAGAGCCATAAATCAGACTGAATCTTTTGTGAAAACTTACAGCTGTGTGATGGAGCTGGATAGCTTTATTGGTGAGGAGAATTATTTAGTTACTGAATGTTTACAATAGTGGTCAAATATTGATAGATATTGAAGTATGCATTGGAGGCAAGGGATGATGCCCAGGTTAACTCAGGTTAACTAAAAATTACGGGTGATGAACTGATGAGGAAGAGTCTCTCTGTGACTTAAAACTAGTAGGGATTTTCTCAGTATTCACTTTCGTGACCTTATCTGAAAATTCATTTCAGTTAATTCAGTATATCTCAAGAAAGCTATTGTAAAAAATTAACTTGGGTCGTTGTTGGAATGAAGATATTTTTTGTTCATGCGTAGAGGTTATTGAACAAGAGGCCTTAGGTTAGATTCCTAACTGATTCTTTCTAACTGGAGCCTATATAGATGAATTGAGAAATTCCTTATTTCAGGCCAAACACAAAGAGCAGACACATCACCCCAGATACTTAATACGTAAGTGATCAACATCACTTCTAACCACAGATATACTTTTTTAATATTTCCGTGTAAAAGACAGTCTAAAGTCAGAAACATTGTTTTTGCTGACACGCTACCGAATTTTAATAAAAAGGCTGTAGTGAGATTGTTGAGTGACCATAATACGTAGATTGTACTTAGATGTTTTATTTTATTTTTTAATTTTAATTTTAAGTATTTCTTAGATTATTTTTGAATTGTCACATTTTTTACTGTCATTGCCTACTGTGCATGTTGTGACACTCTAAAAGATTGTGCATTTAAAATTTATTATTATGAAAGTGCTTAGATGTAAGACCTAGTGTAGCAACTAAGCACTGGTTGTCCAAATTAAATATAAATAAATAAACTCTATCTAAAATGATTTTAAGGTACCTACAAGACTTATGTACTACATCGTTTCGGTAAGCGAATATTCACCACCGATCACAAACCCATTCTATACCAGAGTAACTTTTTCCAACCCCTTTTTAGATGTAAATAAGTGTCAACCGATAGGGTTGCCACATCGCCGTCTGTTTGTATAGAAAACAGAACAGCTACGCGAATAATGTTTATCTTACCTAAAACCTTTTACTTTTCGTTGATTGTGTTTTTAAATCATCTGGCTGAGATGAAAGAAATGAAAATACGCGCTCCGGTTATTTAAATTCGGTTTTGTGGTTGCCAATGAGAATAAGATTATTATTTTGAAATATTTTTTTTTCGTAGTGTTGTATTTTTATTATTTGGTTTAGTGGAATAAATTTTGTATTAGCTACGTTATGAAAAATGATTTTTGATTCGTTGATTCACCTGATTCTAAAAAATCGGCGTTGCATGAACACCCGCAACACTAGGGTAGTTATCAACGCACTTCCAATTGCTTCGGTGATACCGGACTACCAACAAATAACGAATTTGCTTGTTTACTGCCACAGATATAATAAAAAAAGGTCTGTGTTTCCTCCCCTACCGTAAAAAACAAGACGTCCCATTCCTGAACGTAGGCGTCCAGTAATGACTGCCTACTAAGCTAGTTGAATTTGAAAACCACAGCTGCATCTATCCTGCAGATTGAAAATCAGTCTATACTTAGTTTAACAGTTAAGTACTTATCAATGTAAAATAAATTTAATCTGGAAACACAATGATATTTGAATTTATTTAAATTATAATCTGCAATTATTTTTCAAAGACTGATAATTTAAAGGCTAACTGTACTTTTATATTTTTAAGTAGCTATATTTCAGACACCTATCGAGTAAAATTAGAACTGTTATAAGTATAACAACTGTTACTGAGTAAAATACTCACAACCAAAATGCTTGTTCTGCCATCTATTGACTATTGTAATAATACTATTTTTACAATTTGAAATGAAGATCAGAGTTAGAGATACTTTGCTTTACTTTGAATATTAATGTGAAATTTAACAATTATGTCGTAAAAACTAATACAAATTCGCTACAACAACACCCAGATTGGGTAGCAAGAAGTAGCCTTAAAAGACTTGTTTCCCAATGAGAACCGAAATTGACATTTCGTTTGACATCTGTTTGTTTTTATTGTTTGACGTTTTGTGGTTTAGAGCACCATAACCTAAAAGCGGTCGGTTTTGAGGTTAATATATTCCGAAATTTTCGAATATTGTGTGAAAAAAGGTTCGAAATTAAGTGAAGTTCGTATATTTGTGTGTTAGTGACGGCAAAGCCCGATTACTGGGTCGTACGACCCACGTATACGTTTCACGTGAAAGTTATTTTTGTCCGGTGTAAATAAAACTTTGTTTATTGTTTTCTATTATTATCTTATAGTTTAACTCTTTAAAATAGATTTAGAATACCGTAGTATCTCCTACTTTAGTAATTTAATGCTTAAATTTATAAAACACATAGCTTCTAGAGCTATTAGTTTAAAAGTTAAGAATCTTTTGCCGCGTTTTAGTATTTATCCTGCAGTCATGGCCAACGAAGGTGTTAAAAATAAGAGTGATTTAAATTTGGATGAGGTGCCGGTTAAAAAAATGAAGCTTGATACTGAGAAAGACTCGGTTTTGACAAGAACAGTTGCAACTATGTGCGGGGCTTGGAGGCCAGAAGAGGAGTATGGAGGACTGGTCTTTGTGTTTAAGACTAGGGACCCGGGCCTTAGCCCTAATCCTGCTAATGAAGCTGACTATCCTGAGAACATTGAAGATTTTTGGGAGGCGACCTTTCCATCCGTCGATGATGAACAGGTATAGTTTCTTATTTATAAATTCTTATTGTTGTTTATTCTAAAAATAATTAAGTATACTGTTTCTAGTAAGTTTATTAATCTCCCAGCGACTCAGAATTTCTAAATAATTTTTGTAAAATGTATATTTTTCTTTAGTGTTGCGACTAATGCCATCTATACAAAACCTTCTGACTTACATGTAATACACATTTTGTACCAGTCTTGTTACTTCGTTGTAAAGTTGTAAGATGGCGCTGTAACCAACTTCTAGTATTACACGGGTACTTTGTAGTTCTAATAAAATACATAGATGGCGTTAAACCAAACCTTCTGTGTTAGCTAGTTTTTGTTTTGATTTTCTATTGTTTATTTACTTGGGAGCTAAAAGCCTGCTGTGCGTGTCCAATTTACAGTGTTTTACTAATGGATATACCGCTGAGTATGAATGGAACTTGACGGGTATAGATAGAATATTTCTTTTTAATGTACCTACCTACCTATTCTATATGAGATGACTGTCTCGAAACAAATACGTTTTTATAAATTTTCTACATAGGTACCTAGTTACCTACATAGTACCGTAATGGCAAGCGCTAATCGTATTTTACACATTTTGATGTTGCTCGCAAGCGGTCGCGATTATGCGGACGCACCATAACATCTTTGGAGGTGTACTTAAATTAAATTCATGCATTATTGTGGAAAACCCGCAAACGATCTATTTTAAAGCTTCAACTTGGCCAATAATATAGTTTTACATAACGGTTATTAGAAATCAAGTTTCTTTATTCTTTGCATTTTCGTCTGTGTTTTCCGATTTTCCATTGACTCTCATAATTCCATTAATACACGAACATCCCCGATCTATCCCGAAACCACTCGACCTGTGCCTCAGCATGTAACTCAGCATGAACTTGCAGTTTATCACTCCACCTGCATATTACAAAATGTAATCACACTTACAAAGTCGTAACTTATTGATGCACTTGTGTGCTGAATATTCACCCTTTGCCGTACCAAGCTATAAGAAACCAGTATAAATTGACCTTTGACTATACGGCAAGGTCGTTTAAAGCGAGTTCAGGATAAACTGGTTTTGTGTAGCTTCATGTGAAGCGGTTTCCGTCACTGAGTTGGATTCCGTACACTAATCAGTTTGGGGTACGTTCTATTGCATTATGCAGTCCTGGTAATACCGTTGGTGGGTTTTGAAGATGTTCTGTGGTTTAGCAGATTTTTCTTGGCTAGGTACCTACTTTTCGGACATTTTTGGTTCAGTCTTGAAAGGAGATTACCGTGTGTTGTTTTAATTGTTATTGTTGTAGTTAGGAAGCTTGATGTCCTCTTTCATTTTTGTTTCTTTTTATTTGAAGGAGAACGTCATCCAATGACTTTTCCCGCGTTGGGTTAGGCTAGAGGGAGTGTCAGACTGTTACTGACTAAAAACCACCCCGTTCCTACCCTAGTCTTCGAGTCCCGGCAACCCGTTAGGCCTTCCGCGGCTCCGGCTTACTTTACTGTGCTTACAATATCTTGAGATGGCTGCTGTTGTACGTCAGTAGAACATAATGTGAGTCAAACAAAGAGTTCCAATAAAGGGTTTTAACTGCGGTGGCTGGACAACCGGCTGCCGCGCAACGTGTAGTAAGTTCGATTATCGCACAGAGCACTCTTTGCGTGATTCATAAATTGTTGTTTCGGTTCTGGGTGTCATGTGTATGTGATATTGTATGTTTGTAAACGAACTCAAGACACAGGAGAAATTACCAGTGTGGGGCAACGTTTCTTAAAAAAAAGAAAAAGCATAGAATTATATGCAATCAAGGGTTAACCTAGCAACAATCCTATACAAATTAACTAAAAATCGCGGGTTACTCACGGGAAACTGTCAAACACCGCGAGGACACCGGTGACCGCAACCTATTCTTTAATTGTGTACTATAATGACGGTACTCAAACCACAGAGTTCTTCCTCATGAGCAACGTGCGCGGTCGCAGCGATGTCGAGCAGCTTATCGAACCCCTCTGTGGTTCGAAACTAGTAGAGCTAGTATATTCACGTGAGTAACCCGCGATTTTTAGTTAATTAAACTGTCAAACACCAAGCAGTCACCGGTGACCGCAACCTATTGTTCTATAATTGTGTCTATAATGAGGGTACTCGACGAGTTAAGTATGTCTCACAATAGTTATTATAAAAATTATATCCAAATTGCACGTCGAACTTTATCATCAAACCAAAGAAGGAAAACCAATTAACTATTCTAATTTCGAACACTAACTAACCATCAGATAGCCTTGCAAAATTTGCATCATGTGTATGTATCTATCTTAGCATTAATTTCCGGACACTTCACCCCTTGCATTCGCAACGAGTTCACGATGCGACGAGAAAATTTCGGACTTTAGACAACCCTAAGGGGGATTGTGATGTGTAATTTTATCCTTATAACTATGTTTGTTCATCGTACGTCGTCGTATCAGCCACAAGGCGTTCAATGCTGAACTTAGGCCTTCCCCAATAACTTTCAGGTAGATCATCATACATACCTACATGCAATAAAAGCCCGAGACAGTTTTCACTCCCGAACAATGGGTCGTTTTTTTATATCCCATCAAGGGCTGACGTTTCAGGACTATTTCGCCTGGTGGTAAGCGATGATGTACGTACATCTGACTGAAAACGTGATCTTACTGACTAAAAACTACCCTGTACCTGTGCTCCGAGTCAGGCGGCGGTATCCTATATAATTTCCATGCTTGGCAAGCGCTGTGAAAATCTTGCTTTAAAATATTCAGGTTTATCTGATAGCGCAGCAGCAGGGTCTCTGTTAAAAGTGCGGTCTCACATACCAGCAGGGGTGGTGACGAATGTATTCTAATCTGACTTTACCACATGGTGCGGTTGTTCGCCATACATGCAATTAATTATGCATTTTGCATGCGCGCCAAAGATATGGAGACGGTTTCATAGCTGAAAGTTGTTACATGTAAAGCAGGCTTAAGTTGTCTAGTTCATAACTAAACTAGTGTTTTATTTAATTTCTCTGTTCTGAGTTAATTTTCGCCAAGTGCAATTGTAGAAGTTTTTGAGTTGGTCTTAAGTCTGGAGTTCGTTTGAGACGTATTATTTCAAAAAGTAGGTATTGTTTTGTTTGGTTGTCGTTGTGTATTTGTCTCTTGTTGTTTGGTTGTGAAAAAATACGTTGTTTTTGTCAACTATTGAATATATTATTTTCTATAGCTACCTCTATACTAAACACCATTAACTACTCCAGTAATTTCGATCGTATTCAGCCAGTTTCCTTGTCACTTTTGTTCATTTTTAAGCTTTATTTTTAAACGATCTCCGGCCATCGTAAACGCGGGTCTGCGGATGAGCAAGAGTAGCTTGCCGGCCGTCCAGAACTAGAGCCGTGCTACGTTGCGTCGCGTACCACGCGTGCCTCAAAGAGCCATCAGACCACCATAGATGGGGCGCAGTAAGGCTGATGCCCGATACGGAACCGCGGAAGACCTATCGGGTTGCCGGGGCACCTGCTTGGAGAGCAGGAGTAGGAACGGGGTGGTTTTTAGTCAGTAAGAGTCTGATACTTCCTCTCGCCTAGCCCAAGGTGGGACAAGTCATTTGATAATTTACCGCCTTATAAAAAAATAATAGCTTTTATTCTAGTCTGTAAAAGATGCGAGAAATATATAATCATCTTAAAATATGATCCAGTCTTTACTTTACTGTATACCAGGCATGGGTTCTGAACTACCGAATAACTATTTAAAACGCAGCTTAACCTTAAAATTGTTATTTTCAAACCATGCGAAACATCGGAAACAACTCCTAACATCCATAAAAGATGAAACACTAAAGAAAGTATTAAATATTCGACACAACAAAGGCGTATTTAAAACGCGTTGTCATCGAAAATGTTATGACAAAGCCGAATTCCTGCGCCTTCGTTCCTTTACAAAATTGCAGACATTCTGGCTAAACTCGGCGACGTAAATTCTTTAAAACAACTTTGTGTTTCGTAAGGAACCGCGTATACTGTCGATATGACTGATTATTTATCGTATAACTGATATGTGATCATCTGTACTTTCACCTCTGGGAACTGGAAAAACTTGTTGTGACCTTTCCAACGAGTATCGTAAGAAATGACTCAACTGACTAAGGGACTACTGATGCACCTGCACGTTTCAGGTTGTGATCTCCAACCGCCCTGCCAAACTTGGAGATTATAGCAATCTCTTTTAATTACAGAAGGATCATAAACCAGCAGGATCGTAGGCTATTGATAGGTAACGATGATTTTTTTATATTTGATGGGTCGACGTTTGACCTCTATCTCGCCAGGTGGTAAACGGTGATGCGGCAGACGATGGATCACGTCTGCCTATAAGCAAGGTTGCTTATAGGCAGACGTATTTAATTAAATTAAAAAAAAAAAAAATTAAAGGCATAAGGCAAGTGAATACCTATTCACTCAGCCCTTAAAGACACCCAGGTTATACCCTTCAGGAAACACAGACAATGGTGATGACGCATTTGCGACTAATCATAAAAAAACTTACGACTAAAAATCGTAATCACAGCAAAACTCTTACAACGAAAGACTCGAGCCTGTCTTAAGCGAGTTAAGTTATTTCTACCCAATATAACGTTTAATGTGTGGTTCTGAGGAATTATCCAGCAATGTCGTTCGCACAAGTTTTTTATGTTAAATGTTAGACTTGTGGCTTCAAGTTTTGGCTTCAAATTTTACGTCTCTATCGTAACGATTTGGGTTTTATTGTTACGATTAGGTACAAGGAGTTTTACTTGGCTTTTTGATTACGGTAATATTAGTTATACCGATGGTATTCGTAGTTCTCATCACGTCAGTGCATTGAGACTGTGTAACTAATTAGATAGAGAATAGATTTTGTATAAGGAAATTTGTCCCTGCACCTTTAGGTGTCCTTAATTTTATCATTTAAATCAGACTTGTCTTTGTGACTATTTTCTGATAGTCGGGATATTAT